ATCAAACAAGTATTCCAACATAAACAAAGAAATCTTGCTTCCAGGTTAAAGCACTGCATGCAGTGATCCGTTTGGGTAAAGTACTTCCAACATTGCACTATTGTTAGCATGCATAATTTAGCACTAATAAAATATTTTCACTTGTGGTAAGTAACTGCCACAACTATTTATTGTGATAAATGAAGCAAGGTTAGCAAAGTTTTGAGCTTTTTGCAGAGAAAAACATGTTCTCTAAGTTGCAGGGCATCTTTCTGACAGGTTGAAAATACCAGAAGGGGCTTGTCTGCATCACCCATGCTTTGTAAAACCACAGGCACAAAAACCAGATGCCTGCTAGCTTCTTGAAAATCATCGGTTGCGTTTGGTAGCAGGAATTACTGCTAACCTCTGAGATCTCAATAAAATCATGTGAATGCTGGTCTTAAGTTAGAGAAAGTAGAAGAAACAACGGATGCTGCTTTGAAAAAATAGCTGCTTAAAAAAAAAAAAATTAAATAATGCATATACTTCTCAATAAAACAACAAGGAATATTGAAATGTGTTTAGTTCTGATTTAATTTTAAAAAGTCAACATTATATTTCAGACTAGTTTGATAACAATGGCTGATGATTTAAACGGCATAGTTGTTCAAAATGAGAAGAATTAGAAATGCCAAACCAAATTCAAGATTCACGTATCAGATAGAATCACTGGCCAGAAGAATTTATATTTTTAGGCCCTAAATAATGCATTATTGGATCTAAAAGGTAGATAATGCTGTGTCAGTAATTCAAAAAAAAGGAAAAAAGACAGAATAAAAGCAGAAAAAAACAGCGTTGAAGTTACTGAAAAGTTATTAGACTTCTCTGAAAAAATATAAACATCTAAAAAAGCATAAAAAATAAAAATTATAAAAATGTAATATTAATAAAAAATCTATTTATAAAGAAATCTCAGGAGACTCATAAAGTAGATTATTTTTATTTTCAACTGAAGTGGAAAAGGAATGTAAAAAATACATACAACGAAAAATAAACTTGTTTCCAAACAGCTCCATCACATATTCATGAAAAACCCTTCTAACTCCCACTGTCTTCCGACATTTCTATTTTGAATAAAATTATAGAATCATATGCAAAAATCATATGCAATATTGATATCTATTAAAATTATATTTTTGCTTTGCGAAGACTTGCACACACAGACTAAACTCTAAGGACCAGGATCTACAAATGCAAAACTTGATAGTCCTGTTGGCAAGCAATCAAGAAGCTGGAATGACGACATAACGTCCAGATTGATCATTCAGAATCAGTCCACGTGTTTATGAAGAATGAGTGCATTTGTGAACCTGAGCACGTTCGTTTGCTGTAGATCCAACACAGACTGACACTCTGCATTTTGGATGCAGGAAAGCAGGTGCTGTGAGAATCTCCTCTTCCAGTGAAAAAGGGACCAGCTTTCGCACCGTACTTTTTTTTTTTTTTTAAAAGGTTGTGGTGGCTGAGATAGGGTTGGCAGGGGGAACATGCAGCTGAATACCAAACTGAATCGTAAAATCCCTGCTGTTAATCTTCAGCACCTAAAACACCAGTTATAAAAATAAGACGTGCCCAAGAGTAGTTGGCACTGAGGCCAGAAGGCACAGACCGACCCTCATCCATGGGGCCAAACCCTTCTGGATTACACAACAGGGAGACTCACCAGCTCTTGGGAATGCCCAGAGGCCACATAGAATTGCTGAATGAGGTCAGGTAATCACCAAAAAATGAGGAGGAGGTGATAAATGAAGAACGCGCATCTTCTACAGTGTGGCCCAGGAGCCAAAAGATGAGCTAAAAAGGATTGAGGTGTTGGGAAATTGTGTTTACCACAACTCTCTCTCTTTCTTCTAAAGTAATGGTAGTATGACTGCTATCACAGCGGTGTAGCTGTAAATGATTACTCTAGGAGGCCATCTGGGGGAAAGATCTGAAGGGATCACATTTTTTTTTTTACAACCATAAGAAACCTCAAGTGAACTAGAGAGTGGCCCTAGACTCCCTGGAGGACAGCAATCTTCAGGTGTCTGCTAACCAATTTTTTTTTTTTTTTTTTTTTCTCCTTAGAAGACAAGGATTGTCTTCTTTGTCCTCTGAAGGACAATCAGATTTGAGAAGCTGTCACAGTAGCTTCTACTTTACTGTGAAGGGAAATCCTTATATAAAACTGGGCCAAAGTCTCAGTATAGAAAATTACCCTCCCCAGTCTGGCCATTACTGCTCCGTCATTCCACTGAAGCCAGAAGCCTGTAATTGCTGTAATTTGCATGTTTGATATGGAGACGAACCAATGAAAAACTCTACCGGGGGCTGTGTAGTTGCTATGACTGAGTGAGGAGAATCCCTAGCTCCAAATTGCTGGAAAAGCAAAACACAGTGCCTTTCTCATAAATGAAATCTTTTTCTGAGAATTTTCAAGTGGGCTTGAAAATCTATTACTCAGAGGTTTGAAAACTTCATCAGCAAGTCATGACTTAATGTCTCTATTTGCATGAACACACACACAATCAAACCTAAATGATTTCAGTTTAATCCACAATTTTTTACCACTCAGGCAAAAATTATTTCCTTGAAAGTTTTGACCATGCAATGGATGACACATCAGTCTTGAAAAATCTGAAAGCCTCACTGTAGTGGGTTTTATGCACATACCTCTTTTGAATTTAAAGTAACTTCTTTCTTGATTACAAACTTATAAAAGATAAAGCAACCAAGTAAGAGCATAATATATCTGCAGTTAGTGCAAATGGTAATTGTGTTCTCCTGGATAAGGATTTTCAAGAGACTCCTAGCTTGCATGGCCATGCCTTTTATTAGAGAAACTAGATGCACGCTGAATACTACCCTTTTAAATTCTGCAGTCTATTCAGGGAACGCACCTCCACTTTAATTGCACTTTCCTCTGTAGGATAAGAAATGATTTTACAGCTCTTAAATTTGAAGGTATTTTAGGATTTAATTTTCTTTGAAAACCCAAACACGATAAATAACCCAAACATTAGAAATACCACATCCTTGAAAATAGATGCATCTCTCAAATTCTGAAATTGTTTAACTATGAATGAGGTCTCAATATTTTAGTTTTCTGTCATGAAAGCAATTAAGACCAAAGGTTATTGTGAGGCTAATTGTGCTAGTCTAAGTGCCAGTGAACAGAAATTATAGGGTCATTTATGTTTTATAACCCACCTCTTTATTAACATGCAGGGAGACAGGACGCAGCTGCTGTACGCCCCTGATTTTTGAGGGAAAAGGTGATGAAGAGAGTGCTGTCCTTTAAATAAATAAATAAGTAAATTCCTCTTTCCTTTATCTTGAAGGAGAAAAGTTTTAAGTATTCTGTGAAGACTTTATACACAAAGTGAATATACAGATTTGATGTACATGCCCTTAGAGGCTAAAAATTGCTTTGATTTTCCTAAGGAGCAACACCAAACAGAAGTGTTTACTTATGCCATCGCTACAGTTGCTTCCTACAATTGTAAAATGTTGCAAAATACTGAGAAAATAGTGGTTAGATCTATGCTCATTTTGGGATAAACACAGCACTTGCACTAAGGCTTACTGTAACAACAAATGTATTAGCAATTTATCCGGATTTTTCAATATGAATAATTTCTTCAAGAATTTGTACAGCTCAGTAAAACAGAAATGTTTAATAGAAAACAAGCATCCAGTTCGTCTATGTTCTTATTACATTGTACTTGCATTTAATGAAGTCATTCAACTATGCAGCCCTATTTCACCTCATTATATCCATGTGTATTTCTACACTTTGAAAGAGCTCTCGCCATCCTTGCTGAGTGGTTACTTCCATTGGAATTAATGTGGCATCGAGTGCTCTCATTTTTTGTCCTTCTGGAAAAGAAAGCAAACTGGCAAACAATCTGCATTTTGACTTACAACTTGATTTATGAGAGAAATCATCGGGGTCAAGTATGCTGAAACATAAATCTCTGAAGAGAATCGACACGCGCTAGTCTGAGGGGAAGAGACCCCCCCAAGCCCAGACAGCGGATGCTGACTTGCGGAGCTGTCTGCTGTCAAGTGTTCTCGAGCGTTCAGACTCTGGTGGTCTACCCTTGCTTTTTGTTTGGTGGAGGAGTGGGAGGTTAGACGATAATTACATTTCTAGTAATGATTTAATCCAGCTGCTATAAGCATCACGCTTATGTCAGCTGAATAATATCAAGTCACACATTATTTATAAGCATCGCAAAACAAACAAACAAAAAACCCATCTCCTCTGTCAGTGGAAAACACTTTCATCACCTGGTTAGGAAGAAAAGACTAATTACAGGTAGACATGGCCTTGCTACAACTCTTTTAGAGATGTTACCCAAGTTTTGCTTTCTATTTGCCCACTTCTATCTGTCCCTGACATAAACCAAAAACTTTATGTGTTGAGGGAAATCTAAACACCCGGCTAGATATTTCAGAAGCATGTTCAGCAAAACTGTCACATGCTCAGGCATCAATGCATTTTTCTCTCAAACTCATTTAGAACAGTATACTGAAAAACTTATGACAATACTTCCATAGTAGCAGTTCAAAGAAAACACAGGCCTGGATAACAGACTGTTTTTTTTCCTCAAGGAAAAGATTTGAACTGTTTATAAATTGGAAACCAACAGATTGGGTCTCAAATTTTTTCTACGATGTTGTAATGTAATGACTAAAACTGATGCACACACCTCATATCCTGAATAAAATGCTATGTTAACATAACCGTCACCTATAATATCAGCAATTGAGAGCTCTTTTTCAGTTGTTAGCATCTTAAAAAAAAAAACGCAGCAGTTTGAACTGAAAACTCCTTCAAAACTAAAACACACACCTTGCTGTTCTATACTTAATAGGTATAACACACCATCCCTGCCAATATTTTCAGTTCTTGGATCTAACGAGTGCACAGTGCACATCTGCAACATTACAAATTACAATCCACTGACAACAAATGCCGTCTCAGTTAAAACTCCCTTTATTAAGACCAATCCAAAACAGCAATTCTAATACTTTACAGTAACAATTTCAATGCATAATTTAAGAAAATTACTGATTTTTCACGTCCTTTTCCTCTGTACATTCCTTCTCCTGTGTACATACTTTACATAGTAGCATCATTACAATTTCCCATTGGGATTACAGTACAAATAGTTTGAACCACATTTAGTGCAATTTCTTTGGTTCAAAGTGATGAACTCCTTCCTCAAAGGCTTCATAAATTTCTTCTGTAGCATGTATGCTGCTACCACAAATCCATGAATTGGAAGTATTTTCTTTAAATTTCAGGCTCCCATTGAATAAACTGTCCAATTTCAACAGGAGAAGTCATTTGATGATCATTAACAATCAAGAAGCTTCACTATATTCTCCAAGAATTTTAAATAGTAGGCATGTAGCTCATTTTCTTCTGGCTGTGGAGTAGCTAAAAGGAAGAAAAAACAAGATTTGAACTTCTAGTTGATTCTTAATACAAAATGATTTTTTCAAAGATCACATCAAATGCCTTGCTAGAATTCATGCTATTTTATGATCTTAACCTCTATATTATGAGTAGCAAATCAAGTACTAATACTTTGTTGCAAAGTCTGTTTTTTTTGTTTGTGGTTTTTTGTTTTGGTGTTTTTTTTTTTAAAAGCTAGGTTTTTTAGCAGCTTTCCAAGTCCCCACTTAGTTGTACCAAATAAAGTGAAAACTGCCTTTTGATTATGCTATGTTACAGTGAGGTCATGACTTGTTCTTGCCAAAACTTCTCCTTGGGTAGGACAAAGTGGGAAATGAAAAATAACAATAGACATGTTGAAAAACTCCCCCACTTGTACTCAGAAGAATAATCTACCATTTTAGCTCAATTATCACTGTAAAGCGTTCAAAGCTTTAATAGGGTAGGCTAGTTGAGAACCTTAATGCAGGAAAATATAGATGACAACTTCACATGACTCTAAACCGTAACAATTACAGTTGCATAAAATCTTTCATACTCAATATTTTGATATTTAAATGTTTATTGAATTAAAAATCAGTCTAGGACTTTATGTTCTAAAGTGGTACATAAATAAACAGGGATCACAGCTACAAGGTGCTAGCCTGTAAAAGCTGCATATTTCTACCTTGTTGATTCAACATAGTATTTTGAAAAGTCTCTTATCAGTGGTACTTATGCTATAAAGAACAATACAAACTTATCTATTTATTAATGCACTATCAGTATATGAAATATGTTATGTTTAATGGTTGACTTAGTAAAGGATGAGTTTGAAACAACAGTTCATTGACTAAATCAATGGATTCAGGTGACAGTACAGGAAGAATTATCATGAGATGTTCTAGCAAAAATACATCTCCGTATTAGGACACTGACAAGCAGTGTTGAATGTAGGCAGAAATTTTGTGGCAATTCTGTTGTGCAAAATACTATTGGAACTCGGTATTGTAAGGCCCCCAATTGATAAACCTATTTGAGTACATCTATGGAGCAATTAAAATCAGTAGGAAAACTCATTGGCTTAAAATGAAACATTTGCATGTTTTTGCAAGATCAGAGTCTTGATGTGACTAGCAACCAATAAACCCATTACTAGCTACAGAATCTCTAGCTACAGACCAGTGTTTGAACATCTTTCAAAATGAATGCTCTTGAGCTGAAGATAGCAACCTATCATATAAAAGCTATTCAAACGATAGTTACGTTCACTTACTTGAGCAAAAAACTCAAGCTTTCAGAAAGTCAGCTAATTCATGGTACAGTACTTTAAGACTGGCACAATGATCTGTTCTGATCTCTTCTCTGTGTGGCTGAACAGAGTGAGGTTGAGCACTGTTAAGCAAAGTCAATGCTAAATGAACAATTTTTCTCATCACTAAATTTAAAAATTAACACAGAAGTGTACTGTGCAAAGAAAGCATTTGGCTGCAAGCACCATCAGACCTATTCTTACAAACTAACCTTAGCAATTACCTGAGGTCTTATTTATAATTTGTTAACCAAGAGGCATTTTTCTGTATCTGTGTTTATAAGATGCCTAACCATAAAGCATAGTACTACTCATAATTTTAGAAACAAAAATATCCTTTCAAAAACTTGTAGCACAACAAAAACTGATTGTGATTATATAAACCAAAATGTATTAATGATCTACCTGATGGAAAAATACAGAATTGGCATTAGTTGGAACTAAGACTTACTTTTATTCACTGAAGAATAAGCCTCATCTATTCTTCTCCTTATTGATGGATTCTTCAAAGTCACTTTTGCCTGTAGCATATACAAACACACAAAACGGAATGACTTGACTTTCTTCCCCACATGTTCAAACTTTAACAGCAAAGTTTAGAAAATGACAATAATTCAGCAGAACATCAGACGCACGAATTTTAGAATTAGCATATGACTGTATCATCATACAGACTGCATTTATATAAGCAGTCACAAATCACAGAGGACAAGCTGCTTCCTTACCATATTGTTTAACCTCCTAGCCTGAGCAGCTACGTGATTAAAATTATAAAATGGAACTGCTGCTGTAAACTTTATTTTTATTTACTTAAAGGTTACTGCATTTTTTACAGCATCATAAAATTAAACATTACAATTTTTTCAAGTATTTCTCAAATACTAACCTTCTGATAGTTGTGAAGCAAAGCCCAAAGTGAAGCTGCTCCTATTCTCTGAACAGCACAACTATCACTTTCCAAACAGGCAGACAGTACTGCAACTGCTTTATCTAATGAGAAAAAATAAAAAAAACTCACCTAGAAAATATCATCAAAAGCACACAAATCTATTTACATGTCTCAGTATTTTGATGCTTGGAGTACACTTATTTCTATGCCAAGTATTGCAATGGCAGAGGAATTACAGAAACTTTATCAGATTAATTAAATTTAAATATGCTCACGAAATTGGCAAATTACATTGAAAGAAGTGTTAAAAAGAATATAGCAAAACAAAACCAAGCAATGCTAAAAAATTAAGCCATCAGTAATAAAACATGCATGTTATGTACAGCCATCAGCTATGCATAGGGACTGGGTAAGCCATGAAACTGTTTGATAACTCCCAGTAGCCACAATTAGAGCCACATCAGGATAGAAATTAAGATGTTTCTATTTTCCTTAGTACTTATTATGTAGATGATTTGTAACCAATGAGAAATATTTGCCACCCCACTGTAGGTCCCTTAATTTCCTAGCCTTGCTCTGAAGCCAGACTCAAGTTTGCTTGTTTGCTTCATAATAAAAATTCACAGATTATGTAACTGAATAATGTATGCTTAATTAAGGCAGCAAATCAGCATCTTAGGAAAAAATGAAAAGCATGGACACTATGGAAAACCTGCTGAGAACTTATAACAAAGACAGGAGCATTCTCTCTGCAATTAAACAGGGGGAAGAAACATGCCTTTTACAAAAATAAAGAGAAAAAAGTTCTGTGCATGTTGTTACATTAAATATATATGCCATGATCACAACTTTATCATTATCACAAGTGTTTTCTGCACATGACAGAAAACAAAATAGTTTGTCTCAACATCCATGACTTGCAGGAGCTAATGAAGTTTTGTCCAACTGAAAGATAGGAACTTTCATGGTAGAAATATTTAAAAAAAATATTTCTAAAGTAAGTTATTTCAAACTGACACAAGGAATCCTTCAACTCCCCCCTTAAAAACTAGCTGTTTGAGAAAACTGCAAAAATCCTTTCATTCATAATGTGTTACTGTATTCAAATGATCAGTCTCTCAATAAAACAATTTTTTTTTTAAACTATTTAGTTGCTTTTCCTTTTGCTATATATTCTTATTTTAATTGCTTTTCTGCCAAAATATATGTTCTATAATTACTTCTATGAAAATAATTTTTATAGACATGCTTTTCTAAATAACAATATTGAGGTCTTGGTCAGTAACCCAAATTGCAATGAAAATATGGTATTCTGGAAGACACAATATTCTCAAGAGTAAAATAGCTTGTATACCCTTTAGATATGTACCATTAGCTAATATCTTTGGTTTATTAGCTGGACTAAAACATATGTTATGTAGAATGAGAAGTGCTAGATGTTGGCTGCTCTTGTGTTTGTATTTACACATTTCCACGATCTGGTCTAAAAAACCATTTATCTTCATGATCATCTGCTGTCCGTCTTCCCCAAAAGATATGTTCAGTAGCAGCTTTAGCCAAAGAGTAGACACATTGCCAGGATTTTTATGACTTCCTTTTGGTAATGAAAGAGACAGAAAGTTCTGCAGGAAATTACTCTGTCAGAAGGAAGAAAAAGTATGTTAGAATTTAGAGTATTCCATGTTTTCTTCACTGCTGTTTGACCTTCCAATCTGCATACTTGACCAAAAACTAGCACTCATGTTCCATTTATATATTTCAGGGAATCCATTATTAATCAAGGATTTTTAAAAGAGTTACATATGAAAAAGAATCTGCATCTTGGTTAAAAAGTTAATATAGTAAAATACATTTTCTTCTGTAATAATTTATGCAGTGTAGATACATAAAAGTTGACCCAACACAATGTATTTCTTTAAAGAAATAATTCCCACCACTACCTAAGCTTTTTGCTTTGCACTTAGCGTTTCTGCCGAAAAATAAGCTAGAAGCAATTTAACTGAATCAATGCACTACTTACCTAATGTATTCTTGACTCCTTATTTATTATTGCTTGCGTTAAATGTTTAGCTATGTTAAAGGTGCCATAGAATCACAGAATATCTCAAGTTGGAAGGGACCCATAAGGATCTATAGTAGCGCCCCCCTTCACTGACAGCCATAGTCACGTCCTCTATTTTTGTAAGCTTTGAAGAAAAAGATCTGTCTGTTGATATGGCATACACTACCGCTTCCCAACCTCAGGGTCTGCCTCCACTTTAAAGAGATTCTGAGCAGGGCAAAATCTATTCCCCTGTTGCAAAAGGGAGATGTTCTAACATAACATTCCTATGATGAAAAAAATCCTTGACTAAACATTCCCAACCTCACTGACCCTCGACAACACAGGGGCATCTGGTTGAAAGCAAACAATCCAGCATACAAACTCATTGTGGTTTTCTGCACGTGAATATAATACTGGTAATTTAATTGTCACAGATGGAATTAGTAATTCAGCATTGCGTACACTTATAAAAGCAGAGCTCAGAAGAGAGAATGAGGACTATCACACTAGAGTGAAACTCTGAAGACAGCAGAAGCCAAAACAATCCACAGAACAGAACAGCTACCATAGAAAAGATCTCAAACTCTTTGTTTCTATCAAAAAGTTTGAGTATCAGCAATTTTGTAACTGTATGACCAGATTTCACATAATTAGCACCACAAAAAGATCATATTTCCCCCTGCCTTTTCTAACAGGTAATTAGGTCCAAGCACAGAACATTGTTAATGTAAATTGAAAGAAATTGTTGTAATTAAACTACTATAAAAGATGCTAAAAACAAACATACTTTTTATAATTTCTGTTGTGTTAGCTAGTTTTATCAAGTCACCACTATAGCTGATCTTCCACATGGTTTGACTTCTTGTCTCAAGGTGTTGAATTTATTTAAATGATCAAAGTTAAATTCAAAAGAAACAGATTTTTAATGAACATTTGATGAACATTTGATAAAATAGAGTAAGGATCATTCAATATACAAATTAAAAAGGGAAGAGACAGTACTTACATTTATATAATAAGAATAGATTTCTACCTAACAGCCAATGTTAGGTAGAACATGTAGGAAATCTTCTCTAAAAATAAAATTTTCATAAAGATTATGTTTCACACAGTACACCTAATGATTTATACAATGTTTAATTTCTTGTTTACTCACAAGTAGTTTGTTCTACTGTGTGCTCACTTTCATGATCCACTAGTGATTGCTATCAATATATATGGGTATTAAAAATTTTACACCCCACTGAAACTGAGAGGTTATAAAAAGCTTTAGCAAAAATTGTGTAGTTCCATATGTTGTTTCTGTCCAGACTATGAATATGACCAAATTACACGCTGCACTTAGGGAACAGTAACACAACTAACTGAGAAGACACAAGGGTTTTGACTCCTGCAGAAGCATCTCTATATGATCACAGGATACTCCATATTGAAATATGAGGGTTTATTAAAAAGGAAAATGCATCCATCACATTGCTAAAATCAAGACTGTTTTTTACTTACCTTCTGAATAATGCCTTTACAGTCATGAGACAGAGCAAGGTTAGAAAGAAGACAAAAGACAGCCTGCTGAATTGGGCTGTTATCGTTTGACACTTGGGAAGCCAATTTCAAGATGTTATGCATTAATGAATTGCCAGCTGCACTTCGTGCAGACAGAAGTGATGATTGTCCACCGCTGGCCCAACAAAGTGAAGCACAACCTTAGAGAAATGAAACATTTATCATATGAGAAATGCACATATACATTAATTAAAAAAAAAAAATCTATAGAAAGAGCAGTCTAACAGCTCAAAGATTGAGATAGGACTTCTGAAAGTTTTTTTTTTATTTCTTTGAACCAAGGTGAAGTCAATGGGGCATGCTTTGAATAGAAACGTGCCTGAATGTGACAGTTTACTGGAATAGGCATCTAGTTTACTGGAATAGGTGTCTACTGTCCTAATGTTCTAGAACCTAAGAGGCAATTCTGCTGTTAAAGAGAAGCCATTGCTCTGTCTCAGAAAGTCTCCTTAAAAACCAGAACATTGTATCTAAGGCATTATACAATTATTTGGCATCAGAATCTCAAGGGACCCTCTGAAACTGGTTCAGAAAAAAAGGTCTCTATACATCTGAAAGGTTTAACAAGTTCCTTAAAATATTTTTCTGAGAAATAAAAGCGCTGTCTGCATCTGTCATCACCTTGTGCCACAGTAGCATGCAAAATCCTACGCTACAGAGCTACAAGCTCAAACTAATACAGCGGCAGGGAACAACTAAGTTACCAACGTGATGTTTGTGCACAAATATGCATATACAACTTTTTATTTAGTGGCATTTGCCATCTGCAACAACGGTTAACTTCTTACAAGGCAAAAGTAAATAAAAGTGAGACAGTTTTTAACTGTTACAAACATCTATATGCATTTCTTTGTCTGACTACACTAAGGGGAAGCGGTTAACCAGTTCAGAGTAAGTAAGTCTGGGCAACCTCATAAGCCAACTATTCTGAACAGAAAGAAAAAAAATACGATTAATCTAAAACCACTTGCCCTTATTAGCAAGGAAAATAAAAATGCAGCCTAGAGTCACTCAGAGTTAAGGAACAAGAAAGACCATCAGAACTTCAGCTTGATTTCCAGTACATCACAGGACATAACATTTTAATTTTATATCCTGTGATTGACTAATACATATTTGACCTTTCTTCAGTCCATATTAAAAAAATGTCTTTATGACAAAAAGCATCACAAGCTCATTTAAGGTCTGGAGACATTAACTTAAAAAGAGGGTAAAAAAAGCTCAGAGACTGTTCAGTTAATATGTTTTAACCATGCTAACTCTTTTATGGTATCTTAACAGGGAGAAATCAACAGATACTTATATGTCTCTTCAACCCACTAGCAAATCGTTATCTATTAAAAAAATGTCTTTATGACAAAAAGCATCACAAGCTCATTTAAGGTCTGGAGACATTAACTTAAAAAGAGGGTAAAAAAAGCTCAGAGACTGTTCAGTTAATATGTTTTAACCATGCTAACTCTTTTATGGTATCTTAACAGGGAGAAATCAACAGATACTTATATGTCTCTTCAACCCACTAGCAAATCATTATGTGAGTCAATAACCAGGATACAGAATGAGACAAATGTGTACTAGAAAAAAAAGAACAGGCTTCTAGTAGTGGGGATAATTACTCATCAATGGAAATAAAGGGTTTCCTCAAATGAAGAAGAGAATCCTTATGAAGAATATACAAATACAAGCTACTGAGCCCAATGCATAAATAAATGGCAGAAATTTAATACAGAATTAAATTAGATTACTGAGTATTTCAAAACCAGAATGTTCTCAATAAGGGCTGAAGTACAAACTGTATAAAGTACTGATACACCGTTGCCTGTGAGAGAATTCTTAGAGTGGTATTTTAGTATTTCTACAGTATACTATTCAGTTTGGCAGGACTTTCAGTGTAACCTTCAAACACAATGGTTTGAATTAAATGCTATTTAATCCTTTAATACAATTGTACTCTTGCTAAATCCAACAGACTGAAACAGGATCTGAACAAAAGTCTTGAATGTATTAAAATCAAAACTCTTGATAGACTTTGATGGACCAGTGCTTTTATACTTTTCTCTTATGGTAGTAATAAACATTCTTTTCCCTTTATTATGCTTTTCTGTCTTAATTATTTGTGTTAAATATTTTGATGTATTACATCATAGAGTTACTCTCATACCTGCAGGATAGTTTGCAGTGTAGACACAAAGCAAGTGAAGAGCTATTTGCATTGAGGAGTCGTCTATTAAAAACCATGGCCATAGCGAATGCAGAACAGGAACAAGATAAGCGTTGAGTGCTGCCATCTACAAGAACATGAAGAAGAATTTAAACTACTATACTATTAAATACTTTCAAAATGAAGTATAAATAGAGTGAGAAAAGCATATTTTTATCTTATTGTGTCCTGTTAGTTTGCTTTAAAAGATTGTACGGAGAGAACTGACACCCTCATTTCAACACTAATGAAATTAACTCTATCCCACTCAAAAGCAGCACACGTTTTAATTACTAAGAGACATGCAAACAAAGGTAAAGACTTATTCATTCCAACTGTGATTGTTCAAGAGCTCCATATTCTAAAGTTGTATTCTACTCCAACTGAACTAATTATTGGAACTCAAAAAGCATGGAAATAAAGAGTGCAGTTCTACAGAGCAAATGATAGAAAACTTCAGTTATCGACAGCAACTTCCTTCTCTCCTCCAAGCAATTGTCTCTGCAGACCCCTGATCAAAACAAGAAAAATATTTGAAATCTGAGATTATGGCACAAGCAAGTTATGGGGACCTTAGGGATAACCAGATGGCTTATTCAGGCCCATAATTTACGTGGTGTTCTGTATACAAAAAGGATGCTAACACATGCCCTCAGTAGGGGTACTTCTGGAAGGTCTGGAAATCTTGTGGTTCCACCAATGCATCTGCTGTAAGTAGCACAATTTGATTCACAATGCCAAGACAAATTAAACTGTGAAAGAGAAAAATGGAAATACATGCGTGAAAGGTATCAGCAATAAGAAAGAGGAAGAGTAGTCATCAGAAAGAAGAATAGAGAAAGAATGAAAAAAAGCAATGTAGTATTTTCCCCATGGAAAAAAAACAGGTAGGCAGAAGAACTGAGGTAGAAAAGAAATTGAAAAGCACAGAGAAAAAAGACAAAGAATGTGAAATGAAAAGAAGAAATTCAAAACAAGATTCTGAGAAAGAAAAATGATGAAAAGAAACCCCAAGATGAAAACAAAATTGTGCCTTGCAGGATTAGTGTAATTTAACACAGACAAAGAAAAGTAAGTGGCAAATGATTATTCAGTTTTTTTTTGTCTTTCAGAAAGGGAAAGGGAAAAAGGAGAGGAAACCGCTTTCCAAGATGCGAAGTGTACCTCTTACGCGCCTTTCTTGTGGCCCCACACTTTTCTCCACACCCATTTTTCACATTATATGCTTTGAAAATTGGAATTATTGATTTAAGCAAAGCAGAAGTGGGTATAAAGGATGATAGCCATCTGAAATCTTTGGAAGATGATGTTTCAATACAAACATTGATATGTTCATCCTAATGCAAGTACGAAATATTCTTAGGAGGTGGGAATCATAATGAAATTTGAAGTGTTTCTTGCCATTAATATCAAGCTTAAATTGAGCCAGCGTGAAAATAATTTCAAAGTAGAAAAAAAAAATTATCTTCATTCACTAACTGAATGTGCTTACATTATTTCAGTACAAGAATACTTACTTTGCATTCTTCATTTTGAAAGAGGCAGTTTCTGAGGAGCTGCATAGAACACCTTAACTGCTTGATAAGGTTATCCTCCTATCCAGAGAAAAATATTTGAAGATCATCAACAAGACCAGAAGGAATTTTGTACAAGCAGGAAAGAGATTTCAAAAGGAGAGGTACAAATCTAAGGCATCAACATGTGGGTCACATCTCTTCAGCAGAGTTTCCTTCTGATCTCAGGTAGGATTCATCTCAGTTAGCTTTAAAGTCATTCATAACAAGTTACTTGGAGTCATCCTCATCTCTCTTTATAACCCACAGATACTATTTCTAGGGGCACTGATCTGGCCAAATGCAGAGATCTGTAATGTAGAGCTCCATTTCTCTTACGACTAATGAAGAATGGGTGGGAACATGTTCTGGGTATTTGTTCCATCCTAAAGCAGACATCTAAAACAGACATCATCAAAGTCAAATGAATGACTCCCTAGAAGCACTTATTTTTCTTCCTTGGATAAAAACAAGGATAAACTAGCTGTGTCTTGCAGATCTCTACATTTGGTCAGACCAATCCATCCTTATATTCCCAGTGTCTTAGTTCCCTATCCTTAATAACGGAGATAGTTTCCAACCTGATAAGAATATTACAAAGATAAATACAGACCTCTGGACAGTGAGGTACTATACTGAGATTCAAGTATACAAGTAAACAAACAAACAAACAAACAAAAAAAATCTATCTTCATGATAGTGCTGTGACACTGAAAGGCTAATGATGGCTGACCTAACTTCTATAAGGTTGACATACTAAACCACTTCTGAAAGATGATCAAATTCCAATAAGCTTGTTCACCACAGGAGACTATTTTTGTTTTATCAAGCATAAAGGAACAAAAATGTAAAATAGGATTCATGCTTAAATCTCAGACAAGGTGAAGCAACAATGCTTGCTTATAAATCATATCATGTACAGTTGATGACATTTAGAGATGAAGTAAAAGTATCTCAAAAAAGTTAATTAAAGTCAGATGTAGTAGATGAAAAAGAAACATACAAGTCATCATTACAAATGCATTTTATGACTGGTTTATCTCATTTTTAGCTAAATAAAATACTAACTCTAAGATGTTCCTTCAAGAACTTCTATATGTATTAATTTATTTAATAAATACAAGGAGCACTAAATCCTATAAAATGCCACAAGCTACAACTTATACTTAATATGTAAACTTCTAGGAGGTTGAAAGAGTTGTAGATTGTGTTGATGGCACTGTTTGTATTTATTTATTTTAGGATATCTTGATTTTTACTAAGATCCTATTTTGAGGGGGTTTTTTTGAAAGCTTGCCTATTTGTAAATACTTTTCACACCCTTGCTTAGCATCACAGTAATTATTGTGAAATAAAAGGAATATCAGGTAAAATACTTCATTCTCAGGGCAACTGAAGCTAGGTCAAACACATTTTTCCCAACAGTTAAAAGAAAAGAAAGAAAAAGAAATGAAGCTCTGATAACTTCACTTTGAGAGCTGTGCCTCGAAGTGGGTTGAGGGGCAGTCTTGTGAATGATCAGCTAAATCTGACTATGAAAGCAATGCCTCACCTTCCCTCATGTGAAACTAGACTGCTTTCGTTATGCACCACTGTCGCGGTTTAACCTCAGTCAGCAACTGAGCACCACGCAGCCGCTCACTCACTCCCCCCCTCCCCCGGTGGGATGGGGGAAAGAATTGGAAGAATATACAAAGCAAGTGATGCACAGTGCAATTGCTCACCACCTGCCGACCGATGCCCAGCCAGTCCCCGAGCAGCGGCCCCCCCGGCCAGCTTTCCCCAGTTTATGCACTGAGCATGACGTCACATGGTATGGCATGTCCCTGGGGCCAGTTTGGGTCAGCTGTCCTGGCTGTGCCCCCTCCCAGCTTCTTGTGCACCTCCAGCCTTCTCAGTCGGTAGAGCATGGGAAACTAAGAAGTCTTTGGCTAGTGTAAGCACTACCTAGCAACAACTAAAACGTCGGTGTGTTATCAACTTTGTTCTGGTCCTAAATCCAAAACACAGCACTGTACCAGCTGCTAGGAAGGAAATTAACTCTATCCCTGCCGAAACCAGGACAACCACATATTGATGAACAGCACGCTTACATATGATGTAGCAACCTACAGTCCCAGCTCACCAGGGAAATCTGCCACAAAGTCTTTTGCAAATCTCTTTCAAAGAATTCTTAATTAAACACAAACAGTCTTTCTGACCTTTCTCAGAGGCTCCTTTCCTTCAATTTCTTTCAAGTTTTAAATTCCTTCTACATTTAGCAGAGGAGCAAATGTCCCCAGCTTCTCCCTTCACAACCCAAGAAATATAAAGAACCAGCTGACTTCAACCTTACTGGACATATCCAGGGCAGGACACCTTTCAGCCTCCACCCCTTGAAGAAGGGATAATGAATGTGTTTAGGAGATCTCAGGAAAAAATATTGTAGCCTTCAAATGTCAGGGTCAAACTCTAATTCTTTTAAGAGCTCATTGTTATAAAACACCAGTTCCACACTCTCACAAATCAAGGCTAATGTCTGTTTGTGCCAACGCCTCAGAGAAAAATACTATCTAGCTCAAACAATACAGAAATATCCTGCAGGAAGATGTTTTCCGCAATTTCTGCTTTATGTGGGAGTGGACAAGATATCAAACTTGACAGCAGAGGTTATCGTCTGTATTTTAATAATTCTCTTAGATGAAAGTGGTAGAAAGCAAGCAGATTGCAACAAAAATCTTATGAAACTGTTGTATGATGGTAAGAAATAATCTATGTCTAGATGTGGTAAGGAAGAGCTGGGTGATGTGAATCTGGAACAACTGGAAGGGAGGTTAAAAAAAAAAAAGGCTAAACAAAGAAATTGTGAATGGAGAGAAGAAACTGGGAGTACAGGCAGCGGAAGGAGTGCAAGTATGAGGTAAAAAAAACTCTGACAAGAAATTAAAGCCAGGGACAATTGAGTCTAATGACAAGAGACCGAGACATCCAGACCAAGTATGCAGGAGGACAGAAAAATAATTAGAATTGGAAGACACATAATATGAGAAGGTAAAGAATAAAAAAACCTATGACTTACATGCACAAGCAGACTGGAACTAGTTTTGGAGTGGGAGGGAGGCTGACTAGTACAGGAACAGAAAAAAACAAAATGGCTAGCACTGGTTGAAAGACACTGAGAAAGAAACCTGAGAAACAGAAAAATTATTATTGTGGAAACAAGATAGGAAAAATCGCTGGATTGTGTAGGACCATGAAGTCAAGGCTGAAAGTCCAACTATGTCTGAAAATAATACAGTACTCTTAGATATTGTTGTAGGCTAAATAAATACCACAAAATGCAAGCACTGACAGGTGACAAATGGATGAACGTGTATGTGTGTGAATGTCTGAAACTGAACTTTTAAACTCTCAATCAGAAGCCTGCTAGTTGCTGGCTTCAACCAGAATGGGCTAGTTGCTAATTCTGATAACCTGGACTAAAAGTGGGCAGTCCTGAATCCTCCAATTAATGAAAAGACATGAGACAGAACCACTAATTCAGAGGCTGATCATGTGTTGTACTTCGCACATAGACTATTTAGATTAGGTAAACAGGAGCTTAGAGGTCTGGAAAGAAAAGCTGGTGGCAAAAAGAAGGATTCCTGAAAAGAAATGGTCTCTGAAAGAAAGAAATGGGCCCAAAAAAAAGAATGTGAAGACCCTGGCTGGAGGAACAATCCTGCAAGTGGGAGAAGATCCTGGATACCAGAGAGATGCATGGAGACAAACACCAGCGCATGCCCAGGGGCTTTGGCCAGTAACATCCAAGACCGGTAACTGAGCAGCTGCAAAGCACAAACTGATGTGATTTTTCTGCCTGACTTTCCTGAACCAGCAGTCATCTCCATGTTGGAAAAGGAAGTTGAGACCTAGTGAACATAATTCTGGGTGGAAGAGTGAGTGTGTGAGATAATCAAGTTGGTAAAAGCTCTAAAATCATTGAAACTTAAAGAAGTTCCAGTATCCAGATCCACTACAAGTTGTCATTTACTCTGTCTCACCCATTACAAATACCAACAATATCTACCTCAAGAAAATAAACCAAAACAAACAAAAAAGAGCTGGGAAGTGTCTTATCATATCAGTCTTTTGGTTTTTATAATTACCTTTTTTTTCTGTGCTTTCCCAGGCTTTAGGGAATCCAAATTCAGCTGTGCATGAATATGTTTCATGTTTTCTATACAGCTGTCTATCAGGTCAACTGGAAGACAAAATATATTAACATTCAGAAGTTCATTCACAATCAGAAATACTTTATGAAACAAAATATCTTTCTTGCAATGATCTTGGAATATGTTTCATGTTTTCTATACAGCTGTCTATCAGGTCAACTGGAAGACAAAATATATTAACATTCAGAAGTTCATTCACAATCAGAAATACTTTATGAAACAAAATATCTTTCTTGCAATGATCTTGGAATATGTTTCATGTTTTCTATACAGCTGTCTATCAGGTCAACTGGAAGACAAAATATATTAACATTCAGAAGTTCATTCACAATCAGAAATACTTTATGAAACAAAATATCTTTCTTGCAATGATCTTGGAATATGTTTCATGTTTTCTATACAGCTGTCTATCAGGTCAACTGGAAGACAAAATATATTAACATTCAGAAGTTCATTCACAATCAGAAATACTTTATGAAACAAAATATCTTTCTTGCAATGATCTTGATTACTGTTACCCTCCTGAACTGAGATTTAAGGATTCAGATCTCCAAATTCTGTGAGTTCATAATATATTATCTTCTTGATATCAGGATGTAACTAACAGTCTCCGAGATGGAGTGCATCTAGTTGAATGATCTCAAGAAGCAAGAATACATTTGAGTCCTCTTGCAAGAGAGTCCTGTGAGAGGAATGCCCAAAGGAAGGGCTGATAAGATGGAGAGGGGAGGATGATTTGGAAGGAAGAAGATAGCAACTCATAATTCTTCAGGATATCTTCAATGACACTGCCTAGAAGGCTGAAGCTTCAAGAGGTTAGGGCATGCATTTATCTTACCCAACTCTTCCCTAACAGCAACAGATTTGCTGCATCTGAGGTGAGACAAATGAAAGCAAATGTTCAGGTGACTCAAAATGCAAAATGTTGTTAGGCTCTTTTCTTGGGATCTAGAGTCTTTAATTTATTACAAGATCATAGGCTCATGGGATAATTCAAGTTGGAAGAGATGGCCTCCAGAGGTCATATAGTCCAAACTCCTGCTCAAAGCAGAGTCAGCTATAAGATCAGGCAAGGTTTACCTGTAGCCTTATCCAGTTGGGTCTTGAAAATGGCCAAGACAGAGACTGCACAGTATGTCTAGCCACTGCTTGACTGCCTTCAAAGGGGAAACGTTTCTTTATGGCCAGTCTGACTCTCACGTTTCAATTTATGCCCATTCTCTCTCATCCCCCTACACCATGCACTGCTGTGAAAAAGCTGGCTCTGTCTTCTTCAAAACCTCATAGGTATGAGAAGGCTGCTATTAGGTCCTCCCTAAACCTTCTTTTCTCCAGGTTGAAGAAGGCCAGTTCCCTCAGCCTCTCCTCTAAGGACGGGTGGACACAACCACCTTGGTGGCCCTCTGCTGAACTTGCAGTTTGTTGATGTCTTTCTTGTACTGGGCCAAAACTGGATGCATTATTCTAGATTTGCTCTAACAAGTGCTAAGTAGAGGAAAGATAACCCTTTCCCCTCGATCCACTGGCTGTCTTCCCGTTAATACAGCCCAGGATGCTGTTAGTCTACTCACATTCAGCTTGCTGGCTACCAAGACCTCAAGGTCCTTTTCAGCTCCCCAGTCAGCCTGTACTACTGTAAGGGGTTGTTCCTTTCCAGGTGCAGGACTTTGCATTTGTATCTTAAAAAGTAGTCCTTAAGAGCTGAACAGGTGATGTTAGAGCTACAGGTATCTTCAGGACATTGATTTGAATGCCAGAACTCCTCTTCTCTAAAATTTGTGTTGCATCACAGCAAGGATGACTTGAAGGCTGCTCTAGCACGGAACATGATGCACTTCATGCACTGATAGTGCCTTCGCAGGAAGTCAGGTCTTAGATGATCTAGTGGGTCATCAACAGAAGAACAACCCTGATTGAAGCAAGGGCTGAGTAGACCACCAATACACTGGGAAAGAGAAGAAAGTAGGTATATAGCATAGGATTTGAAGTTTGGAGTTTTCTGCCACTATGGGGGTCAGACATTGAGCAGACATATCTAGGCTACCTATTTCAGTGTAGTGCAGGTTTAAAGGACTGAACAAACCAACAGAAAGATGCAAGTAATGAGAAAGCACCTAAGACAAAGTGCACTTGGGCCGAGCAGCAGGTATTAAATGCATGATACATGAGAAATGCAAATTAACCAGTCTCCCCTGTGCTCTAGTGGGCACAAAAAAACTTTGATTAGAGGTTTTTTACTTTTGTTTTACTACTGTAAAGTAAAAACCTTAGGCATGAAAGATGTTGCATTGCAAGGGGAGAAGGTCCTACTTAAACTGTAAAATGGGAAGAAAGAAACAAAGAGGCAGAGAAGAACAAAGCTGAGAAAAAGAAGTCTCTTCTTGCCTAGGTACAGCCAGAACTGAGAACACAGGGCATACTTTCACCTACAAACCTATACTGGCATAGGGTGAAACAAGAAATGGAAGATACTGCCAGTGCAAAATCTCCAGTTTTGAACAGATGAATATGCCACTAGCAGTAAAAGCTCACAGGTCTCTTCTCACTCTTAACACAGAGCTGTGATTTCACCACAAATTTTTAGACTGGCTACAATATAATATTTTATCTGTAGCTGAAAACTTTAATTATTAATAAGCTTTCTCTGTAAAAATCTGCAAAAAATGCCACTGAAAACTAGGTCTTTTGTTTTGACAAAAAACATGATGATTTAAAAAATACGTAAACCACCTGCAAGCATTTGATTCATAAATCATTTAACATACATTTTGAAATGCTCACCTTCCAAAGCACATTTCTGGGCATTTTTACTGACAGCTAACAGAGATAGCAATGCATTTGTAGCAACTTCTTTCAGCACATCCTTTGAAGATTTTCTTTCACAGACCTACAAACAATGCAATTTCATTACCAAAATGAAAAATGACCGTATTAAAAGTATTCATATCTATAAATATGTTGTCGTAGTCTATATTTTCATTTGGATGATTCATCACTATATTCCTATCCAGAGTTCTCCCTCTCTATATTCATGAGTCTGTCTGCATTGAAGTGTTTCATTATTATTTCTAATTGAAGTGTTAAAAAAAAATATTTTTTTTTTTTTTTGCTCCTAAGCCCATTCCTCTTACTCTTTTCTTAACATTCTACCTTCCTAAAGCCTAGATTCCCAGCCCTGGCATCCAGATTTTTCCTAATATTCAGGCTTGCTATCGCAGATAATTCACTGACATGTTTTTAGTGCAATCTCACTTTCCTTCAACACAATGATGAAGAAGAGACATTAAATATCAGTGAAATTCTTTAGAATAAAAATATCATTGACACATGGATAATTTTTTTTAGATACTCTTCCAACCAGAGAAAAATGGTAGTTTGTCTTATTTTTGTAAGGCCTTTGTGAGCATCACCATATTTCTAATAACATAAGTATAATCTCTGTGCTTTCAAAGGAATATTTATTTGGAGTCATATAACAAGATAGTTGAAAGACGAGGAGCTGTCTGTGCTTTATATATTATCCACTAGAGTATTTTGTCCATCTAGCAATTTTGCCTAAAATATCATTCCAACACTGACATCCAATATAACAGACTATGGTACGCATTGTAATTAGAAGAATATAGTAAAATAAGAGCTGCTGCTGGATCATAGTAGAAAGAAAAACATATTTTAAAATTAGCCAAAAATACAGCATCTTAAGAAAAACTTAATACTTCAGATAGAAGTCTCATAAGTACCTAGCCATAGGACCTCGTAGATTTTACACCTCTACGTACATCACATATATCACCTTTTATTGTCTTTAGTCCTCCAGCTAGTAATTGCCTAAGAAATTTTTCAAATTTTAATATGCAATAAAATATCAATGTATGCTCTAGGGTTATCATTTATTGAAGTGTTCAGTGTAACCAGGACTGAAAAGGTCAATAGTTGAAGACTAGTAAGTTAATAACCTGAAAAAAAACCCCCAACCTCATTGATAAGGACAACTGACACCAAATTAAAGCACCAAAGCATGGACTGGGTTCTGCATTTAAAGCCCTATTAAGTTGCTAGCTGTTTTTATTTTTTCTTAGTACTTTGGAATATTTTAGTAATTAAAAAACTGTCAATCCCTGTCAATCTCTTGGGTTTTTTCCTTTAATTAAGTATATGTGGTTGATTAGAACTGATTAAATAATTAAGGTGAGTTGTCTTATATTTGTATCTTTTGAAAGTTTTAATCCCTGTCAATCTCTTGGGTTTTTTCCTTTAATTAAGTATTATGTGGTTGATTAGAACTGATTAAATAATTAAGGTGAGTTGTCTTATATTTGTATCTTTTTTGAAAGTTTTAATTTCATCTTAAGATTTTCTAAATTTTATCTTAAAAAATAAAAAAAAATCCATTCTTTCTTGAAGGATGCTCCTTTATACATTTTTTCCTTACTCTGCAATCAAGAATTGCATTTTATAATAAAAAAGATAATGTATGTCAATCATAGGGAACACTTAAATAATAATTAATTGATGATTAACTACTGGTTGAATGGAAAAAAAACCCCTCTATGTAAATTTATAATGCCTTCTGCCAGCAGATTCTATAGTTTTAAACTACTAGTATTAAAGTATTAAAATGAGAATGGACACTTTTAATTCTTTTTTGAAATTATGATGATTAATAAATTTAAGATGCCCCATAAATCCACAGCAGATCTAGCTATGTTAGTCTGCACCTACTGTAAAGTTAGTTGAAGGGGAGATCACAGCCTTTCTAAAACTTTGTAAATTTTATCTCTAGAAAAAAAAGGTAGGGCCTAAATTTGAGACTTTACGTATGGATTATGGTTTTCTTATTACTTTTACTTCTGATCTTGAAAACATGTATACAAGGATTAAAGTTTACGTACACAAAAGCACCAAAACCTTTCAAAGTCAGCATGTGTGTTTACTAAATTGGTTGTATGCCATAATGCATACTAATTTAGGACCTGGTCTGCTAATATTCACACCTGCAGACCGGGTCCTAAGTTAGCATTTGCCATTGCATATCACCTATTCTGTAGATTTTATGTAACTAGGATGATTAATGGAGATGACTGATTGTTTGAAAATTCTCTCTCACAGCCTTTTCTATGTTAGCCAATTACTTGCTTGAGTGCGTCTCTTGAAGAAAGAACATATTTAGATCTTTTGGGTCGTTTTTGTTTTCTTTTGTTTTTAATAGCTTACTTTACATCCTATGGGCTCCTCTTTCTACTGCCTCTCAATGACCACCATGGGAGGGAAAAAAAAAATAAATATATGTACTTCGCTCTAAAAAACTGAAGCCGTTTCTTGCCTAATTCTGTTATCCTTTTTTGGGGATCATAGCAGCTATATCCCTTTCATGTATTATAATGCCCCAGACAGCGTAGGTTATCTTTTGCGCTCTTTTATGAACAAAATGCAATGCCCATCTACAGCTCTGAACGGTTAAAGACCAAGTTAAAAGCTGGTATCTCTTACAATGCTCAAACTATGTCATAGTGTCTGATGTACTTTCATTGGCCTGGATGCAGTTAATTCTTCACCGTATAGCCTTTTTCTGCTGTCACCATAAGAAACATCACTTTTTGCTGCCAAGGATCGGCAATCAGATATGTATACTTGTACGAAAATAGAGGAATGTGACTTACAACACAACACGTCTTTGTCTGACATACTTTCATGCAATCACATTTTTTGTGCCAGAGCCAAGGAGTTCAGTTTTAGGCACATACATAAGCATTAAATACAAAAACCTAACAGGATATTTAGCAAATTATGGGATTTCAAGGAAGTGCCCCTGTTTTGCTGTCAGTCTCTGAAAATCATGTCCTCACAGGAAATCTCTATGCACTGAAATTACCTGAAATTAGTTGCCAAAGAGATAGGGAGTTCTAGTTTTAGTGGCCTATACAGTGACGCCAAGAAAGATCCTCTTAGGATTTTCTCCTTTCTAAAAGGCACCAGGTTCTCAGTGGACAGAACACTATGCCCCAGTAAATGCTATAGAACCACAGCGGTGTAACACAGAAGCAAAGGAACACAGGTTATGTGACAGATGTTAGCTAGATCAGGACAAGTTTTGGTAGGAGTGAGGTTATTCTACAAGAATTCAGCAACCATAGGAAGAGAGGAGATGAAGTGATACTAAGACAGCATTATTTCAGTCACACCATCCAATATGCACTAATACATGTTGAAAAAATAATGTTTTACATAGCAAAATAGTACTAAATATTATTCTTATAAAAAAATAATTACAAGACACTGACTCCAGAACATCAGAAATCATAAGCTACATTATGTTATATGAAATGTGCGTCTTTCAGACAAACATTACACTTCTAATCATGTATCGCTATTATTGTTACAGTGACAAACTGCACATAATTTAAAGGACAACGAGTATACAGATAAAAGAAGAATTTGTGAGGGAAAATAAATTAGGCACAAATTTCACATATAACTTTTCTTGTTACTAAGTAATGGAAGATATTTTAACAGTCTGTAAATAAGTGAAGGACATAAATATTAAGGAGGTAAAAGAATCATTTAGGACAGTATATAAAAGTATAAATAAGAATAATGATATTACATTAAGAAAGACAGAACATTCAGAATAAATATCTGGAAAAAAAAACATCTTGTCACCAATATATATTATGTTGGGCAACAAGTTCCTAAAAGAATTAGTGAAAATACGCTACCTGGATAATTTAAAACTAGCTTGGAAAATACATTAATATATGCTCCTTAAGTGCAACAACACTGATCTTACACCATCAGGGAATGAACTAGAAGGCTTAATGATTCATTTTGGTTTACAAATTTTACAAAGGCAGCTGTTAAGAACAAAAATGCTGTCATTTACAATGGGGATAACTACGTCTTGAACCTTAAAAATCTCATTACATGTTTGGAAAAGCAGAAAAAAAAAAGCGTATCAGTATTTGGCCAAACATATTCCACCTATGTATCATCTTCCCTACATAAGATTTCATACCGTGTTGTTGCAGCATAACTGCCTTGCAAGGCATTTCCTAGAAGTTGCTTCTTTGCAATTGTTCCAGCTTAATAGATGAATTTCAAAAATGAGTGTAATAGATGTCTCGAATTAGATGTCTTGGTTCATAACTGGAAACAATCGTTTTTTCATTAGGTAACTACATTCCTTTTTAACAAAATACAAAAATATATCCTGCGATCACATTGTCAGATTGTAAATACCTGAATAATTAATGCAGTAAGTTGAGTTATTGATGCCTGGCATCCTTCAACGTGATCCAGAAGAAAGCTAATAGTTGGATTCTGACATATACTCTGTTTGTCTTGGAGCTGTCTTCTTCCTTCCTCATTCAAAAGGACAGAGAGGAACTGTAAACTAGCCATATATAAAGCAGGATATGTGGTTGACAGATGAATACAATCACAAATGGTATCTGAAAGGTTAAACAGAAAAATAAAAAGTTTTGTATTTCATTCTGAATAAAGCTTAAGTGCTTCGGAACTCAGAAAGACATCAAAGAAAGTGTGTGAGCCAAGAAGCAGCTACACCTGTGCCCTGCACAAGGAGTTCTACAAATTCTATGCATTTGATAAGTCTTTAAAAATCTAAGAGAGAAAAGTTTGAGTTTTATAGGTTTGAATGAATTAATTGCTCTGCTTTAATTTGACTATAAAACAAAAAAAGCAATTTCCATTTGCTAAATCACTCATTTGTTCAACAATTTTCTGAACTCTCCTCACTTCATTCAGCAGCTTGCATTATAATACCAACAGTACCCATCAGCTGATTTACGTGCAATTGGATTTGGATTAACCAGATCACTTAACATGCACCTGGCTGAAATCACAAGCTTGAATGGACTATGCTCCTACTTCAGTATTGAAACACGTCAGAGAATTTTGGTGACCTAGAGCCCTGACTAGGCAAGTAACTAATGAATGAATAATTAAAAAACAAACAAACAAACAAAACCCTGTATAATAATCTTGAATTCCTATATCTCTTATCTCCCCTCAAAACTTTGCTTTCCTTTTATGTAAGATGTAAGAAAAACCCAACCATATAAGGAAAAAAAAAATGAAGTGCTAATTTCTGGCTCTACTCAAAGGTGCCATATTTAGTTAAGGTTTACAACTAGAATCACTAACCCATATATGCAAAAAACCCTTGTGAATTTATCCGGCAGTTCAAAAGTTAGTCTGATGATATAAGAAAGAGTTATAAAATTCCAATTAAGGGAAAAAGTCAGTCAAGCTCTGGACACATTTGCTTTTCATTCTGGATATGCCATTGGTAATTACTTAATAGCATCTAAACAGGAATGCCCCTCTTTTCTATTTGTTTATTTATGTTGTTAGTTGCTAGGTTAAAACCCATCCAGGAATAGTTATTACCAAGTATTGCTGTACAATGATTTGCAAGGGCTGCTGTCACAGATGGAAAAGATATTTGGCCATTCTTCCACAATAATGTAGCTAGAAGGTTGAAAAAGTCTACCCATGTTTCATGAAGTACAGACGTTAACTCAGTATCTGCAAAGATAATATAGAAAAAAATCAAAGCATTTACACATGTGCACAAACGTGGATAGCTAAGCCTGACAACAACTGTCAATTTAAATGAAGGTGGTACGTAAATGAAGACCTGCCTCTGTCTGGCTATACTGGAAACAAAGTACTTCATTACCTAACCCATCTTTGGAGCGAATGGCGAGAATCGTGAAGATATTTCCCAAGACGGGTTTCAACAGTTCATCCTGGATTACAAGCTGAGAGTCCACCAATAAACATGATTTCAGAAGCCTGGACACAGATGACAAGTACTGAAGTAGTAATAACACCTGTTAAATATTTTTAAAAAGATATGAAATAAAGCCATATATTTGCACCTTCCACATTTTTTTTATTTAAATACTCACGTTACCTCAACTTATTCATAACATTTTGAATTAATATACACCACTTAAAAGAAATAATAGGATATAAATTAAAAATTGTTCTCCTAATTTTTACTGTAGAAGATGAAACAGAATTCCTAGTCTCGAAACACATGTGTGAATTCAATTTTCTAGTGACAAAGAATAAAGTTCCTTATGAGAAAGTCATGACTCTCATTATATGTACAGCATCATATTCTCTGGAAGCTCACAAAGAAAAACATAGACATGGTCATTAATATTGACGAATATATGTGTATTTCCTGAAAATAGAAGCTTAATTTGAAGCTTTAGGAAAAAAAATAATTCCTGACATATTTATTTATTTATTTATTCTCACAAGATTTCTGCAGAAACACATTTTCTTAAATAACCTGGATATCTTTCTTCAAAGTAAATCTGAATGCACAGCAGCAGAAGCTTTAAAATGGTGCTGTGCCATGAACGTAGTATGTTCTATATGTTATATATACAGAGTTAAATTTGATACAAAAGTAGTTCCATTGGCAGTAACCCTATATGCTTTGCATACATCAGAATTACTTGAGAACTATGTAAGTGTCTGCAGGATTGGAGACAAAGCAAAGCAGCCAGGTTTGTTGCAGAAAATAAATATGAAATGTGTCAGCAACTGTATCTGGCTCATACTTCAATATCATACAAAGAAATTCTATTACATGATTTCTGTAACTGCTAAACTCAATTTGTATTTTTAAAACACAATTGGTTTTCAGCTTGACGGTTCTAGGTATAGTTCTAACACAGAAATTAATTGTTCTGTGTTGAATATAACACGGTTTATTTTCTCTTAAACCTTGTCGAAAGCACAGAGATTCACATGAATGTAGCCTATAGCAGTGTGTCTGGACTATGTTAATGAATATAGATTATGCAAACATAATTAATTTCATAATTTAAAAAAAATTATAAAGTAACAATTACTTCTCTAACCTGAGCTTTTACATGTTCTATATGACATGGATGACCCAATGGAGCTTTCAGTTCAAAGATACATCTCTCAACCAGATTAGCACTTACAAGACTAAAATAAAATAAAGTAAGTTGGTTAGAAATATATTTAAATAATTAAACATTATACTAATTTAACATTCCACAGAAGAGAACTTGTTAAATAACAGAGTAAAAATAAATTATGAAGAACTTTCTTAAAATAGTGGGGTTTAGCAGTAAATCTAGTGAAATGGCAACTATAGTAGCAGTAAGTTGTTTCAAAATAATTAGACTAACATAATTTCCAATGGCTGTTACTGCACCGGTGAAAATTGTTTGTTTATATTTGATTGCTTATTTTCTTTCCTGTAGAAGAATAAACAGCTCTGTAATAATAAACTGTATTCAAACATGGTTGCCTTTCGGTTTTTTTTCATTAATTGCAGTATGAAGAGCAACTACAAAACCTCTTGAAAACCTTAAAAAAACTGAACTAATTTTCATGCTTCACTTCAGGCCTTCCAAACACTTTCTACAGGTGAAAGAATTTGTTATGATGCAAGTGGAAACATGGAATGCAATCTGAAGACTATTTTGAAGTGGTTCCTTCTTTAAAAAAAAGAAACAAAGCACTAGGGTCTATCATCTAATACTTTCCCAAATCTGACAAGCATTATTTACTCTCTTTTTGTGTGACAGCCCTTGGCTCATCCTCAAAATATTGCATACAATTCAAAGAAGAAAATCATAAAATGAACTGAAATGATCTGCATTTCTGAATACCTGATTATATCACGTACGTTTCTACTAAAGAAAAAAAAAAAATTAAAAAATTACCCCTCCAAAAAGGATGACTAAACAGCCACCTAGACAAAAACCTAAGACATTACCAGAGGAACACAGTAGTCCTGTAGAAAACAGACAGCACAAATGGAATCACCAATATGACTACCTTTTCTGTGAAAAAAATAAATAATCCAAATTCTTTTCTTTTGTTGATTGTATTTTAAAAAAAAGGCATTTTTTAACACTTCAGAAGCAAGAAGTGATCAATATATTTAACAGTTTTGGTAACAAACACTGGTAGATCTCACTTCAAACTTTTCACCTCTATTGCTACACCTTGTTTGTAGTTCAGCAGTTATTGATCTCATACCTGCTGAGAGCTGTTAGCAAATGCGCTTGCCGAAGAGCAATTCCAGTATCTTTTGGTGTGACAACCAGCAGATTGTGCAGAAGGCTGCAAACAGCTGACAAAAGGGCAGGCGTGATGACAGCATGCTGTTTAGACAGAGTAGCAGACATGGGAGAATCATGTTGACTTGGAGATTCTGTTGTGGTTGTATCACTGTGACCTAGAATGTTTTTAATAACAAGAAAACACACAAAAGATTAATTAGAGCAGTTACGTAAAACAAATTGCTTTTTCTTTTTCATAAAATATCCAAGTTCCCCCTACATTTAAAACAGTATATTCTGGAATGGGGGGGTGGAGGGGGAAACCCACAGCACAAAACAACCAAGAAATCAGATACAGGAAAAGTGTTATTTAAAATAGTTCTGAAATAAAATGTTCCTCCTGCAAGCCACTAATAATGTTAAAGATAAATGGTAAATTTGGAAAGATATAAATTTTCACTTCTTTCCTTAACAGAAAAATATTTTATATTTGTAGATGTCTCTCTCCACATACATAATCTTATATATTTTTTTACATTATATACATTTTTATCTTTCTACATATAAAGAGAATTGTATATACATCTGTGTGTGTACACGTGCACATGTGTGTGCATGTATGTATATGACAGCTTTACCAAAATTGAATTTTTTGAAAGGGTGACTGGATGACAGGAATAGAACCTAAGTCTTGAGTTACTTTCCAAGCAGTATCAACCATTTTCATTTATTTCTGCAAAATGTATTTCACCCTATTTCATTTTAAAGGAAGTGTTTCATTGTTTGTCTTCCAAAACAACCACTAGAAGCATCAATGGTGATTGTTCCAGCAATAAGCAAGCTTTATATGCATGTACAAATACCGGAATATGGGCAGGCTAATACATGGTATTCATCATTACGTACACAAACTCAAAGTTTGACTTGCCTTGTGCCATAAGCCGATCAACTACAGTTTCAGGAATAAAATGGCTTGAACTTGTTGGGACTATTGCCTGAAGCTCAGTAACACTCTCCAGTGATGGTGATGCAGACCGAATCTGGAAAGACATAAAAAGGAAACCAGTTGATTCCAGCTTTACACAAAACCAAAAAAAAAGTAAAAATTACCATTCAAAAACAAATCTGATTAAATTTTTCTCACTATATGTGTGTATACATATAGAATTTATAAGCATCCAATAATTGAAACTATTGAAAGATGTGCAATATGAGCAGCCTGAAACACTTCAGTTAAAAACTGATCAATGCCCATGTTACTGGAAATTCCTCCTCTTCATCCTTCTTTTTCATCCATTTAATTGACTCAATCTACATTTGGACAAAGATAGAAAGGCATTACTGAAGCATTTAAACTCAAATTTTTCACGGACTATTTCCTCTACTGAGAACATCAGCACTTGTCCATTTATACCAGGACACGCTCAGATAAAAATATCACAAGCACATTAGTCATCAGCCAAAGTTGAAGTTCCAGAGTCTTTCCAACTCTGGGTACTTCTCTTAACCTTAGTCCTGTGATCCTTACATGTATTCATTTCATGGTGAAGATACGAGATATTTACATGACAGTAGATAATTTTACTGTCATACTACCATGCTCCTTCTACCAATTATACATTACCTACCATATTATTAATTTTGCATGCTTTCAGAAGTTCTTAATGCCCTTGCTACTGTGTTTAAAACCACAAGCTTGAGATCAGAAGACCTAGAGCCTTCAGCTTAATAATATGCTTTTGTGACACAACAAGACCTGTTGCCTGTTTCAGCATACGGGATAAGCATCTCCCATGTCAGGTTACTTTTTCACTTCTGTTTTTTGTTTTCTAGCTGGACAATTCACACCAGGTAAATTTTCTTCAAGAGCATCACTATACAGTGTAAAGAATACAGAACGTTGGGGAATCCAATGAAATCCCGAGATGGTCACAGCTTGAAGAAGGATGTTATTAGACTTTTCCTCACAGTGAGCTTTCTAAGGAAGACTGAAATATTTCAAAAGTTTTCCTTTTAAAGTTTTATTAGAATACCAGTTAGAATATTTTTTTTACCTAAGGAAAAGTCAAAAGTGACTTAATTGACAAAAAGGGTGGAGGGAAGGAAATCACAGATTACTCCCTTCCTAGCTATTGTATCCTTGCAGTTAGGTGACTGCTTTCTAGGTTTGGCTTTGATTTACTCAGCAGCATTTTGAGCTACAGAAACTCTCTACTTAGTATTTTCTCATCCCCTAGAAGGTTTAACCCCACCTCCCACCCCCCATCACTTCCAAATATTGTTAGGATTCTATCAGCACATCTTTACTTGAGACCAGAGTCTCTGCATGAGCTAAAGGTTGCCACCTCGATGCTGTAACTCCCTTCTCTCTCCTGTTTTCCTCTGGTGTCCCACTACTGTCCATCCTACAGTCTTGAAGCTTTCTCCTCAAGCATGCTCAGTTATTTCTCAAAAAAGCCAGAAGGTTATTGTAACACAGAAGACAAGCTACAGTAAGATTTGGGGTGCGTGTCTGAAACCCAGGATTCACATATAGCTTGGATCATATAAACACTAGGACATGCTTGGCTAAATAATTGTCTCGTTAGCAAAATGCAGCACCAAATTGTACTGACCAATTAAAATTCAAATTCCGTTTAGATTATACAAATAAAACCCATGTTTGCCAATTGAAATAAATTACTTAAAGTTTCATGCTTGTTGATTTAAATAATTATTAAAATCTATTATTTCAATTAGAGGAAATCAATCCATCTTGACACATGGTAAATTCTGCATTTATTCAGCACTATACTTCAATTCCAAGCATTCTAATAAATGACAAAAAACATAACTCTTTCTTAAAAACTACAAACCCAAAGTGCAACTTTTAACAGTCCAAATGGTTCTTCTGCAACAAGTAAAGCCCTAAAAGGAATTATTACTATGCTGAGAGTCATTTTAAAGATATTATTATAAATTTATACCAGCTTTCACATATTAGTAAATAATATCTTCTACATCGTACGACTCTTTCTCCACCTTCTAAAACTGTCTAAGCACTTTGGGCAAAGAAATAAAAATAAGGTCTTAGATATGTTAAAAGAAAAATAAAAATCAATAAAAGCTTTATCTGGTTAGAAAACTATCAGCTTCCTGCACTGATGGAACATTCACTGGTAATTGCTTCACAGTGCGACATGGGTTAAACCCAGAAATTTTCTGCTATCTTAACAGAAAACATACAGTAACACAATGAAGTTGTTTCCACAATGTTCTGCCTTCCAGGAAAGAAAAGATATTACTGCTTTTATAAATCACCTTTGATAAGGATGAACTGGGGGTCTGGGACATTGTATTTAGTAAAGGATATTTACTACTGCTACCATATTCTTTCTGGGAGCAATGAAGCATCCTGTTGCTTAACAGCGAAACAACAGACTTTGGAAGGGGGTTTAATTGGGGAAAAGAAAGGGTTGTGTGTGGGGGGAGATGAAGACTGCAGATTAGAACTCATACAAAAGAATACAAAAATTGTCTGAGTGGAAATACAGGAGAAATGTGAGGGTTTTGCCATTTATCTACTAGATACGAATAAAAGGTCTTTTCTTAACCTCTAGTATAAAAATCCCTCTGGCACTGCTTTAATAGGCTTGCAGTTATTAATTCTATTCAGTTCTCTTTTCAAAAGTTTAAATCACTTAACCGTATAGCACTCTGGTAACCATGGTTCCAGAAAATAAAGCACACATTTTTATAAAATAGCAAGAAGATTTTATAAGAAAGAATGGCTATGACTTAAAGCTATCTGGGAAATGTCTGTAGATCTTTAACCTGTACCATTTTTAGCTCAAGTTTTTAAATAACTGCTCATTTTGCTAAGCAGTCCTGGGCACAGAACAGCTCTAGGGTATTTATGCAGCATGAAGCAAGTTGGTATCTCCATGCTGATTGGTGTTCTCAATCACATGTACTAAACACAAAAAAAACTTGTTGGTTAAAATAAGAATAAAGATTTGTTCTCTGTAATGATAACCTGAGCGAATGTTTAAACTATGAATTCTATAAAAGACAAAGATTTTTAATCTTCTCAGAATCGGACTTTTGCAGTATCTACGTTCCAGTTTAGAGAAAAATAAAGATAAATTTGACAAAAATCTGTAATCCACTGAGATCTTAAAGACACTAAATACAATGCATATGAGTTAACAGAGTACAAAAAATCCAGCTCTGCTGCTGTCTTTTACATGACCTTGAATCACTGATTTCATCCCCACATCACTATTCTTTACTCTATAAAATGGGCATAATTGTACTTATGGCTTCTGCAAGACCTCTGACAGACTATTTTATAGACTAAAGTAAAAAAAGAATAATTTCTGTTATTAATATACTTGCTTTTTATTTTTCTCAATTTTACTTCCTGCAAATTTAGGGAAAAAATTGGGGATGGGGGAAAAAAGATGAAGCCAAAAAGTAATTTAGATACTGTTTTCACTTAAGGTTATATGAACCCTGTGTGAAATCAGCCTTTGATAGCAGATAGCTCAATTAAATTATTGGCTACATGAAAACTGAAAACAGAAAAAAGAAAAAGACACTATTAGTTTTCATCAGAACTGTTTTCAAATATTAAAAAAAGAATACAGCAGACCTTTCCTCTTCACAGAAAAGAAATTCCTATAATTCAGTAAAAAGAATTCACTTTTCCTTCTGCAGAGATCTTCAGGATGTGGCTTACTGAAGCAAAAAGCAGTTTCAGCTTCCTAGACTGACATTCATGAAATGAATGGATACGGACATATTTAGAAAAACTTTTTTTTTTTTTGAATGTTATTAAAATATCAGAGAAGAGCTTCTAATAGAAACAATTCTACTTGGTTTGATAGCTGGAAACTCTCAATAACCTCTCAATTATTTGTGGCTGTTGTCATCAAATCTGTACCATGCACAAAAAAACCCAAAAACAAACCAACCACAAACCCAAAAAACCCACACCCCATCTTTCCCTTCAATAGGACCTGCAGTCTCCCTTTCAACTGTGATGGGGAAAGCATGCCATCTAGCGGGCTTGGAATAACTACATCTTCCTGGTACCACCAATATATAAAATTTAGAGACAAACTTCTACAAACTTTTGGTAATGACTATAACTTCATAAATTAATTTATTTTTCTCATACATCAAAATGGAAAGCTTTGGGCCAAACTGAAGGAACATAAAATGTGAAGTTATATAGGAATAAATTGCAGATGTCTGATTTCAAGACAAGTTTGAATTTTTAAAAGTATTTCCAAACTTTACTGGATAGACACTTAATAGTCATTAACTGCTCTCTGAAATACAGTTTGTAGTTAGCCTCAGTTCCCATCCTCTGTCTTTCTTCTCCTAATTAATATTGGCATTGGAACATTGGACCTCTGCATCTTGCCTTCCAGCTTGGAAACTAATCATCTGTCATGTCAGCACTGGTATTTTTTTCAAGGTAAGAAACTTAGTTAATAAAAAAAAGAGTTTACAGCTGCTAAAAAGTTCCATGAAGGACAAATGGAAATTAAATTAACTTATATAAATGACAATCAAAGTTTTTGTGTGAAATCTTCATATGTATCAGGGGAAGAAGGAAAACAAAATGAAAGACAAACTTGAATAAAATTTTCTTACATTAGCTGTAAGAGCATAATCTTAGCAAATAGGAAGTCTACAACATCTGGAAGACTGATACAAATGAGTGTATCTTAGTATTACACTGTGCTTTCTTTAAAAAATTAGTTGTCCATTTGTTAAATGGAATCGTAGAGCTATGGCTTTATGTTAAACTATGATGCTACTTTACACATATAAATAAAAATACATTAATTTGAGTTAGTAGATTCCAAATTATTTTTTTCCTTTTTTCTTTTTTTAAGCTACTGAAGCTGAAGCAATTTCATGTAATGAACTCTTCAACTCTTCATGAGAACTCAAGCACAGCTTTAAGTAGATTAGACACTCAACCCTGATAAGAATTGCTGAAATTTAACTTTTCCCTCAAGTAACATGAACAAAACAAGATGAAATTTGTTCAACTTCTATTCCTATAAGAAACTGGCACTCAATTTATTCAGTAAAAAGCAATTTGGTAACAACTGCTTTTAAACAACCTGAGATTCTTACGTAAATGTTTTTTTAAGCAGTATTAATGTTAGCATCTACTTCCTGATTTACATGCATTTTCATTTATTTTAGTTTCAAATATTCAAATTTGAATATTTGTGTTTAAAATAACCCTAAGGGTTTGGGGGTGGGTTGTTTTGTTTTAGATAAATGAAAATCAAATTCATTAATAAAATTTAAGCTAAAATTTATCTTTTTCAGAAAACTAGAGTATACTTTTTCCTCAATTACTAAAAACATGCCAGATAACAGTAGCAGTGCTAGACAGCAATACATTTATAATAGAGAGTCAAAACAGTAAGGAAAAAGTATAATTGTGAAATATTTTAAGACAAATTTTCAATACTGGCTTTTCTATGTTTTTATTTTTATCACAATCCACAGCAAAACTGGGCATAACAATTTTAGTCAATAAAATAAGATAGTATATTGTTGTGCTTTAATAGTGTGTTGTATCAGCACACCTGTTTAACAGAAAAGAAACTTCTGAGCTATATTAGGGCTTCCATATTACATTAGATGCTTATTCATAAACCAAAAATTTTTGAAGAAAATATAAAACTATAAAGATGGATTTCAGTGCAACATGTCAGAGTTTTCTTGGAGTTATGCTGCAGTCATTGTAAATACATGGTTTTCATCAGGTAACTAATGAATGTTATAAAAGCTTCCTCCACGGCCTGATCTCTTTTTGCAAATCTACTCTGGAACTGCAAGAATGTATTTCAATTTCTCTTCCTTTGCATTTGCCATCCTGAAAGAGAGCATATGTTTACAGCCTTTCATCCTAGCCAGAAACAAATTTTTCAAGCAGCCATCTGCTTTCTTATATTTTTCATTCT